GACGAACACAAAGAAGAATTTAAAGCCAATTGTATGTTAAAAATTTGACATCTGTTAAATGACAACTTATTTAACCTCACTTTACCCTAATTTATAATAAAGCTAACTTTATCCCTTAACTAAAATGCCCAAAAGCCACTATTGCTAACTTCAGCCCGTGGCTAAAAGGCCATAAAGTCACAGCTCGTCAATGTAGGAGTTGATATGTATCAAGTTTGAATCAAACTGTTTGATAAACCCCATTTTAGTCACGAATTTAATTTAGGCAAGAGCGAGCTTGCAAACGAGTTCTTAAATTTATGAGTGTCTAGAAAAATTTATAAATGAGTTGCAATAATTTGGCGTTTATTTAAGAAGTTATTTGAAATAATAGTTAAGCTGTCAGGGTTAAAATGTATTACACTGGTTTAATATCAATATATTGATTATAATCTTAATACCTACTTATATTTATTGCTATAGGATAGTGTTATATTTAATAAAATTCATTTATACTCAATACACCAATTTCCGGTCTTTAATGATTCCAAGTGGGGATGAAAAAGTAAGCAAGTATTTCAATTCAAAGTTCAGATTCAGTCGATATGCACGTAGTTGCAGGCTGCAACTTGCAGCAATCATTTCTCTCTGCAGTCTTAAAATGATTTTGTAAAGAACCCCGAAGATTACTCTTAGTGTAATAAAATGAATATTTTTTAAACATTGTTGTAGCATGCATAATAGGCAGCATGCATGAATTTTATATTATAATATGAAATTCATGCATGCTGCCTATTATGAGGGGCAGGAAAGGAAAAACTAATAATTATTAGTTTTTCCTTTCCTGCCCCTCTTAAAAAAATCCTGTCCAGGGTTACAAGGGGATAAAGTAAATAAAACAGTCACTGCATAAATAAACAGGATAAACTGCTTTTTATTTTCAAACTACTTATTTAAGAAAACTGGTATATTTTGAATAGTGCGTTCAATGTTTTGTGTAAAGTCGGTAACTGTAAAAAAATAATTTTAATAACCAAATACTTTATTTTTGGAACAATATAAATATACACACCACCCAACTTATATGAAATTACCCAGAAATTACGAGAAACCGAGTAACAGTGGTAACTTATAAGGTAAAGTATAACAAAAGGAGAGGCGGAACTTAAATTGTGGCAGCTATGAAACCGTATAAATAATATTAAATTGAGTACTATAATTAATTGAAGATATTATAATATAATTGAAGAAATTATAATATACTTTTATATTATTTTTAAAAATATTATAATAGTAATAATTAACTACAAAATATCAAGAGATGCAATTTTTGTCATAACCATTATTAACGTAGCATGCATTTTTACAGATAATCGGAAATAAATATCTTTTAAGATTGCGCCCGAATTTCTGAAAAAGAAGGTTTAATATTTCGTTGTCAACCACCATTTATTTTTAAAGATTTCTATAGGTAGGTTATCCAAAAAAGTACGTAGGTACTACTAAATATCTTGAACAAACAGCCGTTTTCTAACCCCCTGTGTCCTTGATACGTCAGATAGAATTATAGTTGTAGCAAAGTATTAACAATAAAGTTAAAAAACATAAACCAGTTAAAAAAACATGGGTAACAAAATTTAATTTTGTTTATTTAAGGGTCAGGAATCCCAATTTATTGATACAAGTTTTTTAATTCGGGAAATTGACATATTTAAAATGTAAAAAGTTTCTGTACAAAGTAAGGTTTGCAGTTTTATTTAAAATATACACGACTCAACAACATTGTTTTTAAATTATTTAAAAAAAAAATTATAGTTTTTTTATTGTAATTTCTAAGGCCCGTCACATTCTCATATTTTAGGCAAGATTTTAATTATAAATTTTAACTCCATTTAAGGGGTTGTTTGAAGAATATTTATAAAATTTAACCAAGAAATATTAATTACAGGAGGCGTTTATTAAAATAAAGTTATTTTCAAAACCTTATTATTTTACTCACACCTTTAAAACGCCCATTATCGTATATGTTTTCATGACACTAAGTGTTCTTTTAAATACACATTGACAAGCTATTATGCTATATGCTATATCGACCCATGCAACGAAGACTATAGTAACTCAAAAAACGTGGGTTTTGACTTACTATATGGCATCAACAGATTTTTTCAAGCTCTATTTGGTGGAAGATTACAGTAACTCAGACATGAAACGATAGGCAACCAGTGAACAACTTACCTGTATAGTAAGTGTAATAATACACATTCCTACAGGCGAAAACTATATTAAGTTGAGTTACTCTAGTCTACAATCAAAACTGAGTTACAATAGTCTTCGTTGCATGGGTCTATATTTAAGTTCGTTGACAGTTGTCAAAGTAATACAATCGTTAAAATAAAGTGCCCTTCTTGTAAAATAGTACTAAATGTAAAAATTATTGTATTATATTATTATAGAAATACAAAAGTATTAAATAGTTTTTTATTGCCAATATTTAAAAAGTTGATATGTACTAACCTTTTGATTTTGACGGCAGCACGATCTTATATAAGACTGTGGCCGGCAGCATATAAAAAAGCTGGCGAGTCATTCCAAATAAAAACACCAAATGGGGTGCGCTGCGTGATTTTTTATTTTGATGAAAAAATTTGAGGATGATCTTTTAGGTGTCAAATATGAAAATCCGTTGCCGTTTTAATTTTTTGTTGCTTTACTTTTATTTGGCACCCCTTAGAAGTCTGAAATAGTGTCAATTTCTTACTCTCTTATAGTGGGCCAGAACTTTTTTTCTGTGACAAATATTAAAATAATTTTAATTTTGTTTTACTGTCCAGTAAGTGTGTTTTCGATATAATTTATTATTATACAATTAGTTAATCTCATAAAAGAATGGTAAACCACTAAAGATTCATGATAATTTGCCAATTTTTGTGATTTTTGTCTGGCTCCTGTGCCTATTCTACTGAATTTAGAAGGTTCATTTTTTTCAGGTATAAAGTACTTATACAATAGAAAACGTAACTATTATTTTAAGTTTCTAGACTATCAATTTCTTTATTAAAAAAATTATTGAAAATTGATAATTCTCAAAATTAGCCAATTTTGCCCTCAGAAATCATTATGTTGAGGAAAAAATAAAAATCTGAAACTTTCAGGAAATGTAGTCCTTACCTTCATCTTTTCAGTCCAGTTAGTCTTGTTTTGTTATTTTCATCCATGTAAAAGATATAATAATTTTTTTAATGCCAGTTAAGAAGCGATATTGTTAGTTTTATTTATAATCTAAAATTTAGATGGCTTTGACTTTGTCAATTCATGTTTGGTGGAGAAATGTCAGAACTGCAAAAAATATTTCATAAATATTATTTGTGCGTATTTCTTTGGTAAAAATAATATGTCATATGTTATATACAAAACTTTTTAAAGTCACCAAAGGAATACCACAAATAATAATTGAAATATTTTTGATAGTTCAGCCATTCCAAGCTACTCGGAAATTTTTGTAGCATCCGTTACAATAAAAAATTGTAATTAAATGCTACCGTAATTAAATGAAATACCTTTACAACAGTTAATATTGCAAACATGTTTATTATGCTTGTAATAATTAGGCTTAAACTTATAAGCATAATAATTACGGTAGTTTTACTCACAATTTTTGATTGTAACGGACGCTACAAAAATTCCCGAGTAGCGTGGAATGGTTGAACTAACAAAAATATTTCATAATTATTATTTGTGGTATTCCTTTGGTGACTTTAAAAAGTTTTGTATATAACATAATATGACATATTATGTTATATACAAAATTTACCAAAGAAATACGCACAAATAATATTTATGAAATATTTTTCGCATTCTGACATTTCTCCATCAAACATGAATTGACAAAGTCAAAGCCATCTAAATTTTAAATTATAAATAAAACTAACAATATCGCTTCTTAACTGGCATTAAAAAAATTATTATATCTTTTACATGGATGAAAATAACAAAACAAGACTAACTGGACTGAAAAGATGAAGGTGGGGACTACATTTCCTGAAAGTTTCAGATTTTTATTTTTTCCTCAACATAATGATTTCTGAGGGCAAAATTGGCTAATTTTGAGAATTATCAATTTTCAATAATTTTTTTAATAAAGAAATTGATAGTCTAGAAACTTAAAATAATAGTTACGTTTTCTATTGTATAAGTACTTTATACCTGAAAAAAATGAACCTTCTAAATTCAGTAGAATAGGCACAGGAGCCAGACAAAAATCACAAAAATTGGCAAATTATCATGAATCTTTAGTGGTATACCATTCTTTTATGAGATTAATTAATTGGATAATAATAATTTATATCGAAAACACACTTACTGGACAGTAAAACAAAATTAAAATTATTTCAATATTTGTCACAGAAAAAAAGTTCTGGCCCACTATAAGAGAGTAAGAAATTGACACTATTTCAGACTTCTAAGGGGTGCCAAATAAAAGTAAAGCAACAAAAAATTAAAACGGCAACGGATTTTCATATTTGACACCTAAAAGATCATCCTCAAATTTTTTCATTACAATAAAAAATCATGCAGCGCACTTTTAAATTCATTTTTGGTGTTTTCATTTGGATTGACTCTGGCAGTAAACTAGATAAAACATTAAAAATTTTGTGTGCCTATAAAACATTCTCTTTACTTTTATTGTAAAAAAACTGCTTCTATATCAGATTTAAACGGTTTTTAGTCCATTTTTAAGGGATAAATTACACAGAAAATTTTAGCAATTGCCGCTGGTAATAATATATAATATTATATAATAATAAATAATAAATTTTATCACTTCATTTTACTTATATTAAAAAACCCTTTAATAAAACAAAAATGTAAACCATGTTAACGTACTTAAGTATATTTATTTGAAAATGTAAAGGATCTCCTCCACATATTTACTTCCATTTAAATTCCTACTTTATATTAGTCGAATTTTTTAAGTAGAGGAATTATAATTAAATTTCAATTAGTAGGAATACGCCCTAAGACTACTTACATTTAACGTCCACTTGGACCCTAATTGGCTGCGAATCCCCTGCTTTGTTACGTGCGTTACACGTGTAAAGACCGGAGTGCTGGCGAATCGCAGGACTAAATTGCAAAAGCTCTTGCAGGCTTGCAGGCTGTGCTTGACCTTCGCGTCTCCACACAACGTTCGCTTTGGGGTTGGCGCTCACCACGCAGCGGATAGCCACGGAATCTTTCAGGTCCTCTACGTCCATTGTAGGTATTCCCACAAGACGGGTGGTCGGGACATCTGAAAAATAAAGAAAATGTATGTAAAAACAAAGTCTGTAGTTTGTTTCAATATTCAATAATAATGAATTACAAAGAACAAAGTTGTTCCAACCAAAGTACTTTTTTTATTGAAAACTATTAAATGGCGTTTCAAATTATAAAATGCATGTATTTGTCTGCAAAATTTTCCATTCTGTTTTGTTTTGTTTTCTTAACTTTTATTTACCTCCAGATGGTAAAAATATTATTAGCATCTGTCAAATAGTTTGCAAGTTATTCTCATTTAAGTTAAACTAGAAGAGATTGTGTTACAAAAAACGGGTATGAAATGTGTCTCTACCGAAATTTGATGTGCTGAAATGCTTAGGCCGCGAGTATCTTGGAGCTGTGATAAACGATAAAAGCGACGTCGCTATCGTTACTAGCAATGCAACGTCTTTCAAAACACATTGCATCGCTAATAACGATAGCGATGACGCTCTTATTGTTTATCACAGAATCAACATACTCGCGGGCTTGGAATGTTGCAGAAAACATTTCCCGAAAATTGTATGTCCAAAACTCGGGCACACGATTGTTATAACAATTTCAAAAAGCAGTGGTTTAAGACATGTTGTGTTTAGTCGGGTCTAAAAGACCATTTTGATGAAGTGAAGAAAATTCTGCTAAAAAATCGTCATTTCAACGTTAAAAAAAATTGATGTTGATAAAGGTGAATTAAAATAAGACGTACATAATAAGTGAGGTTTTGCTTATGTAAAATAAATATGTTTCTGTTCAAAAGGGTTAGAAAATTTTTGATAAGCGCTAGTATGTGTATTTTCTATTTCCTATTATTTTAGCCTTAAAAAAACAAAGATTTTGGGACAGAAGATATGGCCCAAATGTAAAACGGTTTATCTTCAAGCTATTAAACTTTATTGACGTCAACATTTGACATTAAAGTAATTAGTTGTTAGCGTCAGTGTTTGGCCGATTTTATTATGAATCATAAAATTTTACTTCCATCAGACAGTTCTAACCTCACTTTATACATTTATAATTGTACGTCTCAAATAAAATTGACATTACATTATAAAAAAACATTACAAATTGAAACTTAAAAAAGGACCACTTTGGTAATATATGTCAAACAGAGCCAACAGAGCCCACAAAAGTCAAGTTTATGACTATTTCTTTCGAACCCCAGTACACCCGAGGTCTGGAAGGGATTTTTTGAAAACTGGACTTCAAAATTATTTTAGTTCAAGCAGTAACACACTTTAGAGCCTTTCAGGCAACCCCAAAGATAAGATTTATAAAATTGAAAAGTCAGGAAGTGGAAAATATTCCTAAAATAAAGACCTATTATTGTTAATATAATAATAGGATTTACAAAGAATATGTGAAACAGACACATGCCTGCATTAGTGACTGATAATATTTTATAATTTTAGAAACTTTAAGTAGCATTTTGTGCTTTTGTTGGAAATACTTTTAGAAATATTTTATAACAAATTAAAAAACTGCCATCTTACCAAGAAATTTTGGTAACGTAAAAGCTTCTTAAAATTATAATAATTTAGTACAAGTAATTTTTAGGGGAAAAAATGAGGGGTTTAATTTAATTTAATACATTCTTTTTATTTCAGTTCCATGTCTTATTAATTCTCTTAATAATTCTTTACTTTCTATAATTTAGAGATGGATAGGCACAAAAATATAATGTACTTATAGGTATTTTTTTATTGTTACAACTAACAAAGTGTAGCAGAGTAGCAAGTTCAAATTCCAATCGTGTTGAATTTCTATTTTCGATGGCAGTAAAAGTGGAGTCAAAACGTTGTAACGATGTTAACACGCCTGTGTATTGCCCCAGCAATTTGTTTTCTGTTGTTCCGGGGACAACAAAATGCAAAACACCAGCAGCTCTCTATGTAAATAACACGGTTTGTAAAACACCCAGACTAAACAATTTTATATTCTGTTTGGTTTTCTTTATGTTCTTCCCATAAAAATACGTTATGTGCTTGGTAGGTATTCTTGTATAAATACTTCAAAAATTATTGTACAATGTATTAAATACACATAATATACATACGATGTAACGAAATAAATAAAATTTAATTTATCTTATAAAAAATACCCATAAGTTTATTTATTTTTTATTTAAACTTTAATAACGTCTTCCTTACTGTTCGTTTGATTTGTACAAAAATTTCATGGTATACTAACAAAAATACGGTCTTTAATAGCACATTTTTTATTTACTTAAAAAAAATTCCCTAAAAGTTATTTTTAAACGTTTTTTTATTATTAAATAAAAAGGCTTTAAAAGTATTTTCTCGAAAAACCCTCGAAGATTAGTAAAGGAGTTTTAGAGTTAGAATTTTTTACTTATTATGCGTTAATTTTGACGCGCAGTGTATAAATCCTAAACCCTTCAAAAATAAAAAAAGTACTTAAAATAAAAAAATAAAACCTTTTTAAATGAAAATAATTTTAACAAAAGAGATCGTTAGAAATTCATAAAAACTTATGAAACATTTATCATATTTATAATATTTCAGCACGGCATAAGATTCGGAAGTATTTTTTCGCTGAAACTGACTAAAATGTATTTTAAAACTGCGAATGTCTCTTTTTTGTTATTTATTTGATTTTCATATGAAAAGAAAATTTTAAAAGTCGCCATAAAAAGGGGTCGGGATGACAGACGCAAAAAAACTTTGACGATGTAGTTTCATGCAAATAGATTCAGATCTCTGCCAGGCGGGCAACAATAGCACTGGCTGTCTGGACATGATAAATTAAAATCTTTCCGAATCATAAACAACTGTGTCACTTAATTTTAAACTTATTTATTAATTATTTGTAGAAAAATAAATGCATTCCACTTTTAGTCTTAAAAAACACAAATGTGCCCTATTTGTCTATGGTAGAGTAACAATGCTTACATATAAAATGTATAATATTAATATATACTGATACAAATGTAAAATTTTACAGTTATCAGAACCTTTAATAAAATCTAATTCATTGGCTGAGAAACCGACGCATTTTCCCTGGTGCCATTTGACACATTTTGTACATTGTATCATGTCAGCGATACTTCACATGCGTGTCAGTAACATGCCCTATTTCTTCATCAATTTCTTTAATTGTTTTGGATGTTTATTCTTTTTATGAAAAGTTTTAATAGGGTTTATTACCTGCTTTCCTCTTTTTCAACAAACTCCTAAAAAATATATTGAGTAAGCAATTATTAATAATACTATAAACACTAAAAGAAGGAAATGAGCATAAAATAAAGAATATTTAGCTAAGTATCGATTACCAAAATTATTTAGGGTAGAACGGGGCGGAATGAGACATGACTTTTTTATTCAAAAATTAAAAAAACCGTGGTTTAAAAAGCATATATAAAATTACAAGCGCTTCGAAGTAACCCAATTTTATTGATGTTGACGAATTAATGGACAAAAAAATATCCCAAAATATTTATAATATTGCCGTTATATAGGATGTAATGTAATTTCTTTTTCGTAACTTTATCCTTTAAGACTTTTTTTCAATATGTACTACTCCCCACCCAAAAGTCCCACTGTATTTTATTTCAAGTCCAACGTTAGCAGTAAAATATCTGCATAAAATCTAAAATAAAAAATTTGCAGTTATGGCAGACTGGATATACGATATGCAGGCTCAAATTTAGGAATTTAGATTTTTGAATCGCAAATTATTAATTTCATCACAATCTAAAGACCTGGGTAAATCTGCCTCTATAGCTAATAAAAGAAGTGCGATGAATCGTTCTTCAGCAAGTTTTCATCTCAAGTGATTTTTGCCTTGCCGTAGTGAAAAATGATCGTTCAGCACTACAATTCGATATGGGTGTGCAAACAAGTATTCGGTACGCTATATTAACATTGGGAAAACTGTGTGGACCTCGTTGATTTTCAGGAGCTTAAGCAAATATATGGTAAAATTCTTTTAAACGTTTTTCTTTACGCAGTACATTTTTTAATTAAAGAGGTTTGTCACGAATTTGTTTTTATTTAAATGCTGCATGTCTGTAATGAATAAATATGGGATATTTAGGTACTAAAAACTGAAAAATAGGTAACTAAAAAGGTACTAAAAAAGCACTTTAGGTTAAAAAAAAAACAGCATTTTAGGTAAAAAAAAAAGATTAAAAGTTCAAGTTTCGTTTATAATTTTGTTTAGTCGCATACCCAAACACAGAACATACCCACAATAAACTATTTCTATGCAATAAACTGTGTTTCACTGAGTGACACTCACTACACAGAAGTTCTATGACAGAACATAAGCTCACTACAAAGAAGGTAACTGTAAAGAAAGTTACTGTTACAGTCTGTGACGATAAGAAAAAATTCTATACCGTTGAGTTGCACGCCCTGGATAAAATATTGGCGCAAAATTTAAAAAGAACACAAAAAAATAAAATAAGTAAAAATACGTAAAAATAGGCAACAAATAGGTGAAAATAAACTGACAAATTAAAAAATATGTACCAAAAGTATAAAAAGGTAGTTTAAAGCAAAAACCTTCAAAAAAGGTAAAAAAGGCGAAAACAAGTTAAGAAAATAGGTAACAAAAGTATGAAAAAGGTAGTTAAAAGCAAAAACCTCCAAAAAAGGTAAAAAAGGTGAAAACAAGTTAGGTTCATATAAAAGAAAATCTTTTAAAACACATTTTGGCATTATTGGTTTTCAAATAGTTACATCGGTTGAAAAAAGGTAAAATAACTAAAATCCCATCCCTATAGTAATGACCGAGAATTTTTTATTAAAAACTTTGTATGTTATAGTATTCAGATAAAATTCTGTTAAAATCCACGTTAAAAGGCTTTATATTGAAGTTTTCTCTAGATTCATCGCATCTGAGTGAGCGTTTGATATTCTTTGTTTAAGGAAAATTATTGACACTACTGTCTAGTTCCAGTTACTCGCGGGTAAAAGAAATTTTAAAAGTTTTCCCATAATTTTCCGCCCCATAATTCTTACCGCCCTAGGG